AGACGCTCCAAGATGTTTCAAGGCGGCCCCCAGGGGCCACAAGATGCCCCAGTGGAACTCCCAAAGGCCCTCCCAAATGACCCCAGAGAGCCACAAGCGCAAAAGCCATTCAGGTTTCTCCATATCCAGTAAATCTCACGCTCGTCTCCTTCGGATGGCTTCGGGAGAGCTTCACATGGCGCCGAGGCTCGAAACGGCCCCACAATTTCGAAGAAGAGCCCAAGAGGGGCCCAAGCGGGCCCTAAGGCCTTCAAGGTAGCCCAAACAGGAAGATCCACAAGAGACCCGTACATTTCAAGCCAGCCCATTTCATATTGAATATATTCCCACGCCGGCCCTGAACAGCTCGAAGCCCCCGCATCATCTCAAGCAAGAGGAGGCCGTCGATAAGAACGAGAAACGAAAAGCGAGGACAACCGAGAGAGTCTGGAGGGCTAACGAGGAAGGACGTATAAGGAATATTGGAGAACGAGGTAAGGCAAGGTTTGGAATGAGCCTGTCCGAAAAGCACGCGCAGCTAACAACGTCATGGCATGCGCTAGAACCCAAGCGCGCGCGATAAAAGTAAATACCGCCCCCCCCGGCCCCAGGTCCCACACCTCCCCGCCACATCTCGGGGACGCTCCCAGAACCGCTCCCCCAGCCTTTCCGGGGAGCCTCCACAGCGTCCCAGGAGGGCCCAAGACGCCTCCCAGAAGCCACCAGAATTCGAAAGAATGGTCCAAGACGCTCCCGAGCAGCCCAAGTCAGCCTTCCGACGGCTCGAGGCTCCCAGGTGGCCTCCAAGGGACCTCAAGAGAGGTCCGAGAGGCGTCCCGGGACGGCCCGAAGAGGCCAAAATCGTAGATGTTTTTTTCCATGTGTTTAGCTTCTCTTGTTTTCGAGCTTCCAATGGTCCAAGAGCGCAGAAAAGCCTCCCAAAACCGCTCCAAGACCACCCAAGAGACCCTCAGGACGGCCCCAAGACGGGCGCTCGGAGGGGTCGCTCTCGAAGCTCGGGGGTAGCGGCGGGGTGGACTGGCCCGGGGGGGAGCAGCGGCCCCCCCGGACGCCCCCCTCCTCGCCGGTCGGGGCCCCCAGCGAGCGCGTGTGATGGGATAATTTCCCACCACCACCACCACCAGAACCTGGAGGGGGGAAGGGAGGAAGAAGAAGAGGGGGAGGAAGAAGAAGAAGAAGAAGGAGAAGAAGAAGAGGGGGAGGAGGACCCCCCTCCCCCCCTCCAACTCATGGTGGTGGTGGAAAACAGGCCCATCAGCGTGGGCTCCCCGCGGGGAGCCCATCGCCGAGGCAGCGCCGACTCCAGGGTACTTGGCTCCATCCCTGAGCCAGTCCCTTCCATTCTGCTCCCCTCAGAGTCAAGGAGCACGAACTAAAGTTAGCATGCACGTCTCGGAGTCGTCACATCTTGAGTGCTCGTCCTCCCGACCTGCCCCTCAGATCTGGTATGGCCAGGACCCCAGGTGAGGGGACCCAGTTAGTGATAGGGCCCCGGAGCCTTTGAGGTGGCCAGGATCACTAGACCCCGTTTGCCATAGCTGGTGCTTTTTCGGGTGGCGGCAGTTCCGGTCAGTGGAAGTGGGACGGGGGGGCGCCCCCGGTACAACTCACTAAACCAGGTTCCGCTAAACCCAGTTCTGCCAACCCCCGATCAGAGTCCAGGAGCAGGAACCAAAGTTAGCATGTGCGTCTCGGAGTCGTCACATCTTGCGTGTTCGTCCTCCCGACCTGCCCCGGCGTCGAGCCCTCGCGAGGCAGCGTTGGGCCAGGCACGCGCAGAGGCCGGGCGAGTCCGGCGAGCAGCATGCGCGGGTTGCTGGATCGCTGCGATTTTAACTGTGCCTCCGCTGCTGGAGGCGCTCGGGCTGTAAGGCATGGAAGACCAACATGCCACAGCATTCCGCAGTGAGCGGTCTCCGGCGCCGACGCCAGCCTGGCGATGCTACGCGAAGGAGCGGGCCCACATACAGGGGTCCCGCCAGCACCTGCTGGCGTGCCTGGATTGCGTTGATCTGGTTGCGCCCGCCTCTCCCGGGAGCCGCGCACCAAAGGCCATGCCTGCGTGAAGCCGACCCACCATACGGTCGGACCGAGGTATAAGATCGAGGTCGGTTCGGAGAGGGTACCGGAATGTGTTCCGTATTTGTTGGATGTTTTTGTGCATGTTAGGGGATGGCATCCTCGAATGTTCTTCGGTTTGGCCGGCGGAGGGTACCATTTTCTTGGAGGATGTTCTTCTGCCCCGCTGCGAGTTCGACTCATCGTCGGTCGTCGTCGTGATCGTCTTCATCGACCTCCTCCTCCTCCTCCTCCTCCTCCTCCTCCTCCTCCTCCTCCTCCTCCTCCCCTCCTCCACCTCCTTCCTCCTCCTCTCCTCCTCCTCCTCCTCCTCCTCCTCCTCCTCCCACCTCCTCCTCCTCCTCCTCCTTCCGCTCCTCCTCCTCCTCCTCCTCCTCCTCCTCCTCCGCCTCCTCTTCCTCCTCCCGCCTCCTCCTCCTCCTCCTCCTCCTCCTGCTGTCGCGCAGGGGCGTGCCCGAGCGACGACCCTCCCGAGGTCTGGCATCCGCCGAGCCAGCGCGCCACCAGCGCAGAAAGCGTCATTGCCGGTCATGGGCGGGTGCCCGCGGAGGGCCTGCGCGCGCCTGGCGTGCCACGGGCGGGCGCACGCGTGGCTCCGAGCTGGGGGCTTTGCTCCGCTCCAGGGCACCCGAGTGGGGTCCGAGTAGGTGTGATGGGGTCTGAGGACCGAGCCGCATCGCTGATGCTCGGGGATGCGGCCCGATGTGGAGAGCCCGCTGTTCTGCGCGGGCGTCGCCGATGCATCTCTGGTTCAGAGGAGGAGGAGGAGGAGGAGGAGGAGGAGGAGGAGGATGAGGAGGAGGAGGAGACATAGCGGCGCGATCCTCCGGCCCCATCGGCTCGAATCACACCTGGGGGGCCTCCATCCCCGGGGCGCAGCTCGAGCCGAGACGGCTGGAGCCAGGGTGGCTGCCAGGGAGGGGGGGATCACGCCTGAGCTGTACGGCGTGCACGGCAGCTTCGTGTCGTGTCGACGCGACTGTGACCCCGCCGCGGGCGTTCAAGGTTGAGCGCCGCTGATGGCCCAGGATCGGCCAGTGTGAAACAATCTTGCGATCGGAAAATCGCCGATCGTTCGAGGTTGAACATCCACGCGGTGCCAGAAACCAACGCCGGGGCCCGTAAGGCTTATGGCGCGATGCGCATTGGCGTGTTCACACGTTGGGGTGTCACACGTCACACAAGGGTACCCTGACAAGCTCGAGTAGACATGGCCTTTCCCTGTCGCCATGCGCTGGTTCGTTCTTGTTGCCACGCTCCGGTATTTTCCAGGCTTTAGACGCGCCATCTTGCTGACACGGCTGGAGCAGTGCGGTCCGAAAACAGTGAGGGGCAGGGAGGTGTCATGTGTTTGAGATTATACGCACGATGTTGCAGCTTAATTGTTACATACTAGATGTTGCGCCCTGTTGCGAAACATATTGATAAATCATGACTTCTGGCGTCGACTTGGCATAGCCAGGCAAGCCACGAAGTCCGAGAGTAGGCCTGGTTTAGCGCACGCGTGTAGTACATGCCCAGAGTGTTTACGAGGTTCTCCGCCGAATCGATGTGCCGCCTTCCGGGATGGCAGCCGCTCAACTATCCGATAACAATCACAATATAATGAGCAATGCGAGGCCATGCGACATCGTCGTTGCATGTGGTAGATGCACTTGAGCTGTGGGAGTTCTCTCACTCTCGTTCTTTGTCTCTCTTTCCCCCCGTCTCTCTTTCTCTCTTCCTCTCTCTCTCTCTCGCTCTCTCTCTCAGTCTCTGAAATTCAGTTGAGAGTAAAGGAGGAGGGGGATAAGGAGGAGGAGGAGGAGGCGGCGGTGTCGGGACTCCGTTTGTGCGCAGCTTTCCTTCTCTCTTTCTCTCTCTATCTCTCTCTCTCTCTCTCTTTGTATCCCTCTCTCTCTCTTTCCCCCCATCTCGCTCTGTCTCTCTCTCTCTCTCTCTTTCTCTCTCTCTCTCTCTCTCTCTCCCTCTCTCTCTCTCTTCTATGTATATGCGAGTATGCTTACATGCGCGTCCCTCTCTGCACGGGCAGCTGTTGGCAGCATGGCCAATCGGGCTCTCCGATGCTGCACTGCGACCCAGCGCGGTGCTGCTGCGGAGACGGGGGGGCGAGCCTCCATGCACTCCAAGGACCGCGGGGAAGAGGGGGGAGAAGCGAGGAGGAGAAGGAAGAGGAGCAGGAGGAGGACGAGGTTAAGGGGGGGAGGCGAGGAGATGAGGGGGGAGACGCGAAGAGGAGGAAGTGGCTTCGATGTCGGTTCAAGGTGTCTCGAAACGGCCCCAGCTGGAGGCCGTTGCGGGGGAGCGTGGTGGACACGTCGGATGTGTGTGTGTGTGTGTGTGTGTGCGTGTTTGCGTTTTTGAGTGCTTGCGTGTTTTTGTGTTTATGTGTGTTTATGTGTGTTTGTGTGTTTGTGTTTGTGTGTGTATGTGGTGTGTGTGTGTGTGTCTGTGTGGTGTGTGTGTGTGGTGTGTGTCCGTGTGTGTGTGGTGTCTGTGTGTGGTGTCTGTGTGTCTGTGTGTCTGTGTGTGTGTGTGTCCGTGTGTGTGTGTCTCTGTGTGTGTGGGTGTGTGCCTGTGTGTCGATGTGTCTGTGTGTGTCTGTGTCTGTGTCTGTGTGTGTCTGTGTCTGTCTGTGTCTGTCTGTGTGTGTGCCTGTGTGCGTCTGTGTGTGTCTGTGTGTGTGTGTCTGTGTGCGTCCGTGTGTGTCTGTGTGTGTGTGTGTGTGTGTCTGTCTGTCTATGTCTCTGTGTATCTCTGTGGGTTTCTGTGTGTCTCTGTGGGTGTCTGTGTGTCTCTGTGTGTCTCTGTGTGTCTGTGTGTGTCGGCGTGTGGGCGGCAGTGTATTCCGTCAATTGTTTGCTGGTGTTCTTGAAGCAGCTTGTCTGTACGGGCCTGAAGTGAGGTCCTCCAGATCCGGAATCGGTGGTCCGTACGGTCTCTTGCATGGTATTCCGTATGGTATCCGCCTGTTCTCTTTGCATGGTCCCCCATATGTTCCTTCGCACATTCTCCAGTACGTTCTCCCGCATGTTCTCCTGTATGTCATCCCGTATGTTATCCAGCATGTTTTCCCGTACGGTTTCAAGTACGTACAGCATTATTGCATGTTGTATTTGCCATGCCATTTTGTTGCTTGGTGTTTTTTTGCCGCCAGGGTGCAATTCCTTTTTCCCTCTCGGGCCGCCTGCTCGTAGCAGGCGTCTCTCTGATTGTTCGGTGTTGCCCCCTTGAGCTTGCAGGCCGTCTTGGCATGGCAGGCTGCTGCTGAGGACTTTGCGTGTCTCCCTCAAGTAGCCTCCTAGGTCGCATGGGTGCGACCGGGCATTGGGTGTTTCGTATGGTCTCCGCTGTTGCCTCGTGGGTTATCTGGGCCTCGTCCAGACTGGCGCCTCTCCAGTACCGCACTGCAGCACCCGACACGGTGCAAATGTGCTCAGTGCTCAGTGTTGATGTTTGTCTTGCGGGTCGCGTGGGTGTATCTGCCAAGCCTCCGAACTCCGCATGTGTCCAGCCTCCGAGCTGTCAAGCCTTCGCCTTTCTCCTGGTTTCTCCACGTGTGCAAGCCTCCACGCGCGTGCCGAGTACGCACGTCGAGCATTCGTGCAGTGTTTGCCAGCGCGGGCGTGGACCCCAAACAGAGAGCTTGTGCACTCCGGATGCGCATGCGGTGGAAGCTATGGTGTGCCAGCTGCGTGGTGCGACCTCTGTGGCACCCGCAAAGTGTGCGACGATGACAGCACCTCGCGCTTCTCAGCCTGGACCAGAGAGGGTTGCTCTTCTCGAGGGGGTATGTTGTGCCAGCTGCGTGGTGCGACCTCTGTGGCACCCGCAAGGGTGCGACGACGACAGCACCTCGCGCTTTTCTCAGCCTGGGCCAGAGGCTTGGCATCGCTCGGACGTGTGCTTTTTTCCTTCGGCGAGGGCCATCGAGGAGCATCCTTGATCATTTGGCGACAAAACCACGCGCGACACCGAAAAAAGCACAGGGAATGGACGTCCGAGCGATGCCCAGAGAGAGGGCTGCTCTTCCAGAGGGGGCAGCGCGGGAGCGCAGAGAGGACGGCACCCCGCGCGGCGTGCAGCGCGAAGTCTGGTGACCTACGAGAGAGCAGGCGAGCAAGGGCAAGCGTGCGCCCACACGCAGCCGCGTCCTCCTCCTCCTCCGCCTCCTCCTCCTCCTCCGCCTCCTCCTCCTCCTTCTCCTCCTCCTCCTCCCACACGCAGGCGAGCCGCGCCCTTCCGCCCTCGGAAGCCTCCCTCGAGCTCCGCCCTCGGGGGGTGCCCTTCTCCAGCTGGGAGGCGCGAGGGCGCGAAGAGCATCGCACGCCGCGCCTCCGATCCGGCTCGCAAAACTGCCCCGAGTCGGTTCCGATCCGGCTTCCGCATCCGATCCGACTCGAAAAATTGTCCCGATTCGGTTCCCGATCCGTTCCGACTCGAAAAATTGTCCCGCATCCGATCCGACTCGAAAAATTGTCCGGTCCGACTCGAAAAGTTGTCCCGGTCTCCGACTTCCGAGCTGATGCGGCGGTCGCCGATTCGAACACCGATATTCCGCAAGACTCGACGCCAGCAAGATTTCGAGCCGGCTTCGCGATTCGATATTGGTCCATACGCGGTCTTCCGAGGTTACCCTTGCATCCTTCTCCTTCGGCCCATCCTTGGCCGCTTTCGCTGGCCGCGCCCCGCCGCTCGCAAAGCGTCGACCTGGCCCTCCAACGCCCCTGCATCCTTACATCGTGCGTCTTTATTGGAGAGGCCTTACGGCCTGTGCCGCCGATCCTGAAAAACGACGACGACGACGACGACAATGAAAAACGACGACGACGACGACGACGACGACGACGACGACGACGACGACGACGACAACGACGACAACGACGACACGGGTTGGCTGTGCTGCCTCGCGGGGCGCGATGCGCCAAGTGGGGTGCCTTGGGCTCCGCTCGTGGCCACGCGCCAGGCCCCTTGGGGCCGAGGACCGCGCACACGCCTCCCGGCGCACCACCTCCTCCTCGTCCTCCTCCTCCTCCTTCTCCCCCTCCGCCTCCTCCTCCTCCTCCTCCTCCTCCTCCTCATCATCATCATCATCATCATCATCATCATCCTTCTCCTCCTCCTCTTTCTCCCCCTCCGCCTCCTCACCCTCCTCCACCACCAGCTCCTCCTCCTCCTCCTCCTACCTACTCCTCCTCCACTCCTCCTCCTCCTCCTCCTCCTCCTCTCCTCCTCCTCCTCCTCCTCCGTCCCCCCTCCGTACCGCCTACTCCTCCTCCTCCTCCCCGGCCTGCCTCCTCCTCCCTCGTATTTCTCCTGCTCTTTCTCCCCTCCTCCTACCTCCTCCTTCTCCTCCTCCGCCTCCTCCGCCAGCTCCTCCTCTTTCTCCCCCAGCCCCTCCTTCTCCCCTCCCCCTCCTCCCCCTCCTCCCTCCTGTCCTCCTCTCCTCCTGCCCTCCTCCTCCTCCCTCCTCCTCTTCCTCCCCTCCAACTCCCCTCCTCTTCCTCCTCCTCCTCCTCCTTTCTCCTCCTCTTCTCCCCCTCCTCCTCTTCCTCCTCCCTCCACCTCCTCCTCTCCTCCTCTTCCTCCTCCTCCTTCCTCCTCTTTTCTCCATCCTCCTCTCTTCCTTCTCCTTCTCCTCCCCCCCCCCCCCCTCCCCTCCTTCTCCCCCTCCCCCTGCCCCCTGCAGGACCCGTTTCCCTCAGTACCCATGCTAAAAGGGACGAGGGTCCGTGCAAGCGGGAGTGAGCCAGGGCGCCGGATCTTGCAGGATGTTGCAGCAGGATCTTGCAAGGCCTGATTGACCCGGATTTGAATTGATCCAGGTCAGTGCGCTTTTGATGGCCTCCTTCCCGTCGGCGGCTCCGAGCGGGGCGGCGCGGGCGCGTCCTGAGTTTTGACGGTCCAGTGTTCGTGGGATGCTTGTTGCGGGAGCTCGCACTAAATTTCAGATTGGGTGGTCTCGGCATTTTCTTGGCAGCCCCGTCAGGCCAACCCGAGACCCCCGAACCCGAGTCTTACGCCTACCCGATCCAAGATGGGGGCCTCAAGAACCGGCCCCTGAGCATAGGAATTCGGTAGCAAATCATGGAAGCTTGGTGTGCCCTTGCAATTCCGTATTTAGCGTCAATTAGCGCCGATCAGCGTCTGGGAGTCGATGAGATAGCGCCGATTCAGCGTCGGCTAGCGTCGATCAGCGTCGATTTGGCGTCGATTCGCAAGAGCCGACAAGATGCTATGGGAGGCTGCAAGGAGTTGCCACCGAATCCCAGGGAGCGGCGAGGGCCCCCAGAGGCCGCAGATAGCCAAAAACCCTCCCTC